GCAGAAAGAAGATTTGAGATATCTGGTTCCAAACCAGTCTTGTACTCAACAAAACGATACCACTAAAATCCTGGCTTCATACAGACAGTTTTTCAAGGGAGAGTAATGGGTCCAAAAAGTTAATTGCACTTATGACATTTTCCTGAACGTCACTGAAGAAGAAACCCTTCAACAATTTAATACCAAAAAGACTGCTAGATGTCAACATAAAATAGTTTTACCCCCCGGCAAATGTGTCTGTCCCAAATAAGATATTGTATTGAACCCTATCAAGTGTTGAAGACTAAGTTGCCCTATAAAGATATTTTTTATTGTTGTTGTTGGGTTACTGTCTCATTTACGTTTATCCTAAACCTCCTTTATCTATTATCGTAAATTATACCCAATAAAATTAGAATACTTCTTTCTAAATATAAGCAAATTGATTTTCATAAAATTAAACAGGAAATGTTTATGGTAAATGGGTATGCTTACCCTTCCGGAGCACCTGAGATCACCCCCAGTTTTCGGTGGGGTTTGTGTTGCTTAGTCTTTAGTTTTCTATGTTGTGTCATCTGTACTATTATTTGTCTGTTTGTCTTTTTATTTTTGGCCATGGCGTTGTCAGTTTGTTTTCGATCTATGTGTTTGACTGTCCCTCTGGTATCTTTCGTCCCTCTTTTATTTTGATTAAAAATATTTGTAATTATTTATCTATATTTATAAATATTGGTTAACATGAATTTGAATATATCTCAAATTAAGTAGTCTATATATTTTTTTTGTAGTTAATAGTGACAATAACAAATGTTCAAATAAATAAATGACAACAATGGGTACTATAAACACTGTAAATGTATTTCAAATTTTGATGTCATAAATTGTCGCCCTTTCGTCAGACTAACATTTGGTCAGTTTCTCGGCAATATGAAATGCCGCTTGGACCTTTAAGATTATTTGATTTGTCTAGAATAACACGATATTGTTGTCCGTCACAAGATACTACTATAACCTGATCATAGTCTGGTAGTACAATAAACACGTTACCATGGTTATCTACATCTAATGAAATAGAATTATTATGAAGAAAACATTGTGGTCTATGCAAACGATAGTCATGAAATGTTCATAAATGATTACCAAAATGGTCAATAGCATAGAGAGTTTTAATTTCCGTGCTAATACAATAGATTTGATCGTTGTGTACTGCTACGTTATATACCATGTCCAATTTTACTGGAATATATTGCAAACCAGTTCCATCCAAATAAATTATTTTTATGTGTCCATTATCCACGCCGTATAGTTTTCCGTTTCCATAACATATTCCCCATCCATCATTACCGTATCCAGTAATAGTTCTATCGATCTTTTTTGTATTGATATCCACAATCTTGATATCTTCCCCGGCAACAACAGCTATATAACTGCTATCAATAGGCGTAAGATCAAATAGGTCGTAGAGTTCAATGTCACCACTGAAACTCCCGTCTTTATCATGGAATATAAGTCTACCATTCTGATTATCAGCAAATGCAACCTGCTTTGAAGGAAGAATAGCACACGCAGTCAGAGACATTGTCTTACTCAAATAATTGTTTATTTTTACTGAATGGTGAAGCTGCAGATTTATTCTATCGATTGAGTCATGTTTCTGAACGTTGAGTTGTGCTTGTTTTTTTGAACGGTCTATGAACTTAACAGTTTCAGAACTTCTCGGACGACAATATCACCGAAGGATTTGAGGTCTAAAAGTAAAGACTTTTCATTATCATTCTTCTTTAATTCTAAACTGAACTTTGTCTGTTTCGATAAATTTTTCCCAACTTCTTGTTTTTGTTTATAAAGTATATTTCCTATTTGTCGTATTCCAATGAAGACTTGTTTCTCAGAAGCATACTTTTTCATGTTAGCAATACGATTGAGTAGCGCTTTTATGTCGTCTCTTTTGATCTTAAAAGCAGAAAAATACTCGTTCACATTTTTAGTGCAACTGTTATATTTCAACTCAAGATATCTTAGGAGATTTTCCTGTAATTGATCCAAGTGATTGTTTATTTTCCGACGAAAATTATAAACTTCATCTCGGATACCTTGTTCTTGTTGTTTCAAATCAGTATTGGATTTGTTTTCTTCCTCGTGATATTTAGCGTAGTTTTGACTCGTGCTTTGAATGTCGTTTTCAAGATCTGTAAGTGCCGTAGAAGTTTTAGACCCTTTTGCAACTTCGGACAACTTAGATATTTTGCATTTACTGTGATTTTCTTGAAAACATTTTAGGCAAAGCACTGCGTCATGTTGTGAACAGAAAAAATCAAATGGCTCTTTGTGATGCTCACAGTTTTCATCGAAGAACAACTCGGCACTTTTCAAGTAGTCAGTTATTGATATCAAGTGGTGGCATCGTAGTATTTTTGTCCTTTTATGATCTTTGACACATTCTTCACAGAAGCCCTCTCCACAGTCATTACACCATAAATGGGCGGACTTTGATAAACCATCATATCCACAAGGTTCACAATTAACTGTTGTACCCTCTGCCATGCTATATCTACAGTAGTACAAAACAAAAAGTAAATGTTCATCTTATAGTTCCTTATAATAAGACAATCATGTCATAAGAGCAAATGGTTAGTGCCAGGAAGGTCTAAATTTGGCCTTAAAATAGGACTTTGTAATACTATTTCTAAACACCAATATTTATAATCTAAAATATAAATATTTAGATAACTAGACATTTTATAGGTCTACTGTTTGTTTTGGACATTGTCGACAGCTTCAAAGGTATGATATTTTATATACCACACCCTTCGCTATAAATACATGATACAAAAAATTACGAATTTCCTTGTATGTGGCCAATGGTGAATCAAAACCTATCAAAATTAAGCCAAAAATAGGTCAACTTTGATTTTCCATTATCAGATTACACAAATATGCCTGTCGCTAATAAGAATTAACTAAGAATATCCCTTATGTCGACCATAGTGCTTGTATTGGTATTCATTATGGTGTAATTTTTTTATCATATCATTGAAAACCATCTACAAACTGCAAGGATGTATACATCAATAAATAAATAAGCATTAAAAGCTCCTTTCATTTGACATAATGATTGTTTCCTTGTATTTTGTTGACTCAAAAACTGATTAAAATCTCTCCTCTGTCATTCTTCAGTGGTCAAAATAATATGTCTGTTAACAAAAAATTTATTCGTTTTAAGTTCTAGTACCGATTGCTCTTTTATGGTTTTAAAAAGCAACATCTTAAACTGTACAACAAAAAGATTAAAACTTAAGGGGAAATCAGGTCGTTCATGAAGCAACTAATCAAGCCACACTATTTTATGTCAGGAGCCACCTTAGTAAGGAATGAATGGATGATTGGATCAAAATTGTTTTGCTTTGACTGCTAAGGGGGCTGATGGGTTATTTTCGTCCTTCGTGATCGTGGATATTTGCTTTCCGTGATTCGTTTTTTTAATGGATTTATTATCCGTGACTCGTGATTAGTGCATTTTTCGTGACTCGTTTTCAATTCAATTTGATAAACGTTCTCCGTGATGAAGGTTTTAAATCGTCGTTTTTTTGTGAACAGTGATGAAAGGGTTAAACTGTTGTTTTTCCGTGAACAGTTTTGTTGTATTTCCTGTGAACTGTGATCAGCAAATTTAACATTTCGTGAACCCTGATGAACCCCCCCCCCCCCCCCCCCCCCCCATTATCCCCTCCACTGCTATATGCTCATTTGCAAAAATGTGTTTGGCCACGATACGCAATGGCTTCAAATATTTGAATTTAAAGAATACAATAAAAAAAATGTAGTCATAAATTCGATGGGCAACAATATGTTAGTAAAATGACAATAACAGCGTTTTGACTGTTTAATTTAGAGGGAAAGGAGAAGGTCCAGTAAGACCACTTTTTGGCCCCAAAATATAGCAATTTTACAAAATTGTTAAAATGTAAACTTTTAGCTATTTATTGGAAAGTAGAATACTTCTGCTACATAAATATGGGCTGTTTTTGACAATACAATGCACATATATCGGGTACTAGCATCATTAAGTCATGCTAAATTACTGAAATCTTCACAATTTTAACATTTGAGTTTAATTCTAGACGGTTTCCGTCTTAAATGGAAGTGGCCGCATTTGTGTTCATTCTAAATATTTTAATGTAAGTTGTATTTGATGATAATACATAACATATATAAAGGTTGAGAGTGAACACGAATGCGGCCACTTTAATTTTTGACAAAAACCATCTGAAAAGTGACATGTTATAGTATATTTGATAGATTTTTCATGTTAAAGCTTGAATTTGAGGGTCTGAAATGACTAAATCAGTTCAAATCTTTCACATAAACTAATTGAATCGACTGAAGAAGACACTTAAGTGTTTAAAAAGTGTCCAAAATCTTTCATCAGATGAACCTAAAATTTGAGGCCAAAATCGGCCCTTACCGGACCTTCTCCTTTTCACTGTATTGCTACGTGAAAAATTTCACGTGAGATTCCTTTGATTCTCAATTCACGTGAAATTGACGTTTCACATATAGGCTCGTTTGAGGTGAATTTCACCTGAGATTCATGTAAAATTCACGTTATTAAAATTTACCTGTGAAGGGTAAAAATATATATATGGATTTTTATACTGTACATGTATTTATTTGTGATAGATAAGACCATGATGATTATATTACCTTGACATAATTTATCGCAGAAATATTTCCTTACTTTAATGTACTATATATCAGCTTTGTTCAATTTTCATCGTGTTTGTGAAATGGTATTATTTCATTATAAAAGGATTTAATTAGAATATGATATGAAATTAAAATAAAAATAGATGCGTTTCTAAGCGGTCTATCAGGCATAACTAGGAGGTATGTAAGAAAAATCAACAAATATATATAGATATGAAACGAATTTGTGTGCGTATTGCAAACCGTTTGAAGCCAAGATTTTCTATGTCAAAATCTATTTCAATAACAAATGACGAAATGAGAAAACATTTTACCTTCCGAATTGAGGGTTTTTGCTACACCATGAATATGTCTACCTGCCAAAATACAAAAGATCAGAATTACAAAATCACGTGACAAAAGTAATCCTATGAAGGAAATTTTGATATTATATTACGAGTTACACTAAAAAGATTTACTAATTATATTCTTAGCATGTTTTTTTAAAGTTTATATCGGACGTGGAACATGTACTTTTACTGGAGAAATTCGCTGACAAAAATGTAAACTGTTCTGGCTTTCCTATTGGAGAACATCAGTTCATGCGTTATTTTAAATTGATGTCATATATATCAAACATGAACCTAATTATATATGTCAACCAAACTATTTGTGCATTTCAATAACTGTATTAATGCAATACATCATTTGAAGACGTTGGGTTTTTTTCCATATCAGTTACCGTAAATGTTATTATTCACAATTCCCTCATCCATGTTTTATCTGACAGTGACAACAAATGATGAAGACACATTTTTACACTTGATAAAGTTAAATAATGAATATATCTCCCTGGTGAACAGCTCTGATTCCGGATTTAGCGATACGTTTGTTCTTTTTCTGTTTGTTTTCTCACCTCTTCAACGTTTGTATTGGGTTTTTGGACATTCATATAATTTTTGCCTCGAGCATCACTGAACAGACATAAATTGTCGAAATGAGCATCCGGTACCGTAAAATGGGTATCGTTAATGTTATTTCATGATTGGGAAGCAGAAATCATCTCTTTCATAGTAAAATATTATTCTTAACCTCGCTTCGTTGTTAATTTTAGATGGAATTTAAGATACGAGATAGATTTAACTGTATCTGTGGTATTTTTTATTTCCAGTTCGAAGGGATAGATACGTTCAACATACTCACCAAATTTTAAAAATTATTTGGTGAAATGACATCATATATATGGTGGAACGTGAAGTTAAAGGATAATGCTAGCCTCTTTTCATTCTTTCGTATCCATTTTGTTCAACAACTATATATTGTTAACTAGTACATTCGGGTGCGGATCTCGAAATTTGTCAGACTGTGGTCACCTTACCCACTCTTATAAAAAATGTTTTACTGATATTAATGGCATTAAATTAGTAATAATTAAAGCAAATGTTTTAACAGGACTTATCAAATTGATTCCAATTTCATTTTTCTTGGATGCCTGCGTGCAAACATGTCAATAATCACATCAAGTTCAAAATGTACATTATAGTTCACGTGCATCAATGCATCAATCTAAGTTTGTATATCGACCGTCTTTTTCTCAGTATTGTCGAGGAAAATCTTTGCTTTGGTTCTTGCCTCAGCGTGGCTCTCTGTAATGTTGTTATTTTAGTGTTATATTCAACATTGCCATTAAAGCGGGAGGTTTGGCTAGCCACAAAACCAGGTTCAACCCACCATTTTTTCTTTAAATGTCCTGTACCAAGTCAGGAAAATGGCTATTGCTATCTAATAGTTCGTTTCTCTGTGTGTTGCATTTTTTTGTTTCTGTTGTGTCTGTGTTCTCCTCTTATATTTAATGTGTTCCCTCAATTTTAGTTTGTAACCCGGATTTGTTTTTTCTCAATCGATTTATGAATTTCGAACAGCGGTATACTACTGTTGCCTTTATTTTTTACATGTTTTGTCATCCCGGCCGAAATGTTCGTTTAGCTTGTGCAATATCATTTAATGGCTTGTGTGCTAGGGTTCTTAAATTGTCAACCCCAAATAGAGCACAATATATACAATAAGCTCCTTCTTTTGAAGGGGAGTAGACAAGCCCGTCATATCGAATCAGTCAATTTCTCTGAAACAGTCTGTTCTTTTCTGTGTATTTCTTTACGGGAAAGTTATAGTTTGTTCCAAGGTTGAAAATGATTCCTTATAAAATTCATTTTTTGTTCATTTGTTATTTGACGTGTCGATTGCTTCTCATGACCAATGTTGTGTTATACCTATATGTATGTAGGGAGCTGTTTCATGATTACAATCACCATTATTGCACGGTTCAATACTAGGTCCATTACGAGTCGTTGGTACTTCAGAAGAGGCTAATTTGTGGTGTTTTCTGATGGAAAGAGAGTAAAAGTTACAAACAAATGTAAAATGCCAGAATTTTTAGACAATTGGTATAAGGGGGAAAGGGGGGGGGGGAGACAGGATTAAGAATGTTAATAAGACTCAAAAAGAATAAAATATTTGAATTGTGGCATCACAGCAGAAAATCATTAATGGTCGATTAAAGTTGCCAAACAAATTTAAACTTTTAAAATTAATATAAACGTAACATAAATAAAATATTAATTATCTAATATTGAGAACTGTTTCTTCGTTTGCACAACTACACATCAAAGGAATCTATGAAGTAATTTACGATCGCTGATTTTATGTTTTATTGTATAAACATACATGTCAAGATACATGTATTTCGCCTTAAGGTAAGTAATGACAACTTTATTACCAGTGATAGACAAATAGATAAATTTATGAAAATATTACATTAAAATGTACACCGTGCACCATTTTTGACAACATAAGGGAAAAGGAGTTTCACGTGCACCGGGTGACCATCCCCTGGATCCGCCTCTGCCAAACTAAAACTAATTGACCTTTATTTTAGTAAAAGGGGGATATTCAAAGAGACCTACCCGTGCTGTTTTTATTGTTGGATATAAATCATTTTAGAAGACTATAAAAATGATGAAAGAAAACAAAGTTCACATTATTATGTAAAATGACAAAATCAAGAGAAATAGTAGCATTTTAAATATTTTAACATGCGATATTGTTTTTTGTTTTCTTCCAGTAAGACGAAATTAAGAATGTTTCTTCTACTGCATTCGATTCGATATATTGATTCTGCATAACAGACAATGTTTTCCATTAGATAAATTTAAATTTTCGAATATCTAAAACGGATGCTTAGTTGAGAGTGGTAGGATGCTTCAAATTTAACTGAAGGGAGTGTATTGTTTCATAAATCTGTTTCTCTCACAATTTTAAAACTTAATCCTCACAATCTTTAATGTTCTTTTATTCTGATCTTCAAACATTTTCGCTCTATCTGTAAGACATTTTGCAAGCATTGTTATTTTTCCCATACAATAGTAAAACCAGCTTAGTGCCCTTCTGGAGCACCTGACGTGACCCAATTTTGTATTTTGCTTTGTGTTTTTGTTGTCGTTTTTGTTTTTTGTTTTCCTTTGACCTTTTTAGGGGGAATTGTACTTATTCTTTAATTGTTAGTAGAATGTTTCTATGTTTTTTCGTCAGTTTGTTCTTTGTCTCTTGGTCGTGATATTTTCTTTTTATTTTGACTGCACCGTTTGTATCTTCTTCTTTTTCAAATGATATTTGACAATCGCATGATTTAAAAGTCAGATAAAATGAAAAAAAAAAAAAATATAGCAGAAGAGAAGTTCTGGTTCTTTTTTAATGTATTTTCGGGTTACAAGACCGCAATTACTTGTTTATTTTTACCAGCAAGATGGAATAAGGAAACTAAATCGTGTAAGGAACCAGATTGGATGATACAGGGTTGGAATTACTTTTAATCGAATGCTGATCCTTATAGGTTTTTAAAAAATCCAGAAAATTAAATTCATATTTTACAAATTTCTAGTAACAGGAATTGCTACATATTTTTGTTCAAGTTTGTGTATTCTTCAAGAAATAAAATACCACTGGTATCCTATGGAAAATGTATTTCGAATAATTGCGCTCTTGTAACCTGTTAAGCCGATGGAACAAAGTTCAAGTAAGGTCATCTCCCATTCACCAAAAAAAAAACCCAACGTGCATCAACCAAAAAAAACCAGCCTCGAATGTTAAATATGTACCTTTATCCATTTCAAATCAAATTATCAAAAGGGACCCCCGCTGAAACAAATTTATTATTACTTTATTGGCCAAATATGAGCATTTACACTAAAGTATAAACAAAACAAAAATGAAAAATGTTATGTTTTTCTTTAAATCGACCTTTGAACACAGAATCTTAAGACAAGAATAACCACAATTCATGAAAATATCGTAAAAAATTTATCACACAACTTCTACCAAATTACATTATCTAGATTAAACATAATTAATCGTTAAACCAAGAAAATACCATTGTGAATCAAAAACTTGTATACCTGCTTTTGGAATATTGTATAGATAACTTTCAATTGTTGATACAAAACTGTGACCCCTTCATGAGATTTTGTTTTGTATCATTGGGTTGCTATCTCATTGACATATCTCGGTTTGGGTAGCAAACCAATCATCATTGATTAGAAAGGTGACATAGTTCCCCATGGTTTAGCTAATAACTGAAGTAATTTTCGTCAACTTTAGGTCAGGTAAAGTATTAAGGATACAAGTTATTTCTATTGTATATTTACACCACACTCTAACCTTATTTGTCTTTGGCATAGGGATTTCTTTTTCTTATTCTTATTAATAAAATTGATAACAAGTCTTTATTTTCATTAAATAAGATGATGAAAGTAGACAATGTTCTTTATTGAACCAGTCAGTCTCGAATGACTTTAAAAAACAATTTCCAGTAATGGAAATCAAAACCATGCTTTTCAAACTTTGACGCCTTACAGGACAACTTGTCCATTAGATGCACTGCAGACTGGCAATTTGCTACTTTCATTGAGTTAGGAAATTCCAATTGGTCCTTTTAAACTATTCTACAAAACATATTTAGCCCCGCCGCATTTTTGCGCCTGTCCCAAGTCAGGAGCCTCAGGCCTTTGTTAGTCTTGTATGTTATTTTAATTTTAGTTCATTTATATGTTTTGGAGTTTAGTGTGACGTCCATTTTCATTGAACTAGTACATATTTTTGTTTAGGGGACAGCTGTTTTCTGCTCTTTGGTCGGATTGTTGTCTCTTTGACACATTCCCCATTTCCATTCTCAATTTTATTTTATTGATCTGAGATAAACTGCTTTTGCTGACTGTCACCAAAAATCAACAACTCTTTGGCACAGTCGGGAATAACTAAATGTACTTTACCATGCTTGTCAAAACGGAGAGAAATTTGAGTAAGATTTGATAAAAAAAAAATTGATTCCATGTATCTGCTATCTTGA